CATCACGCAGCGCTGTAGGTTTTTAGTCAAAGATGGCATCTGGCACGGCGCAAACATTTTTCTTTAGAGGAAAGACTTTTGGCAGTTCTTCTTGTTCTGGTCTAAAAGACATGTCCAAGTCATTTACACCAAGTAAATGGCCTGTATTTGATATAGCGCCTTCTAGAGTCCTGGAACCCCCCAAGGTGCTTTACAACACAATCATTCACCCATTCACACACACATTCACACCCTGATGGTGATGAGCTATTGTAGCCACAGCTGCCCTGGGGCGCACTGACAAGAGGTGAGTCTGCTGTTCACAAGCGCCACGGGTCCCTCCAACCACCACCAGCAGGCAAGGTGGGTTAAATATCTTGCCAAAGAACACGACGAATACAGACTGGATGGGGCTCGAACCTGCATCCTTCCCATTACGGATTCTGTGCCACCGTCTCCAATCGTGATATTGTAAAGAGTTACACTAGTCTAAGAGTGAGGCTACGAAGGCATGAACCACAGTCTCAAGGTCCTGTCTAGATAGGAATGGCTTCACTTTTGCCAGGCGTCTCAAATGATAAAAGTAAGAGGATACTGCAGTACAAATGTGAGCATCGAAACACAAAGCTGAAAGATGTTTTGTCTCAATTACTCAACAATAAAGGAAAAACTGACTCTGCCCTAAAATGATGATTTTACACAAGGATGGACGGACATTAGTTTTCCAAAAGCCTCACTAGAAGCATGGATTAATCTCAAACTACTCACACATAACAGCAGAAACTCCAGCGACAGCACAAAAGCTTCAAAACATGAATCCAAGTGGAAAATTAAGTCTAGCATAAAGGAGACTTACATAAAAGATGTGCAGAGCTGCCAGTGAAACCGTTGTTTTTGACAATAATCCTTCTAATAAGGTTGTTGCTTGAAATAAGTCCATGATCAGGAGTTTTCTGAAGTGGAAAGAGCCAAAAGGTCACAAGCTCACTAAACCAATTCAATTCAATTCAAGTTTATTTATATAGCGCCAAATCACGACAAGAGTCGTCTCAAGGCACTTCACATAATAAACATTCCAATTCAGGTCAGTTCATTAAGCCAATCAGAAATAATGTTTCCTATATAAGGAACCCAGCAAACTGCATCAAGTCACTGACTAGTGTCAGTGACTATACACCAATCCTCATACTAAGCAAGCATGCAGCGACAGTGGAGAGGAAAACTCGCTTTTAACAGGAAGAAACCTTCAGAGAATCTTGGCTCAGTATAAGCAGCCATCCTCCACGACTCACTGGGGATCGAGAAGACAGAGCACACACACACACACACACACACACACACACACACACACACACACACACACACACACACACACACACACACACACAAGCAATGCGTCTATAGCTACACCGTGATTTATTAGTAAATATTCTATTTGGTGAGAGATAAACTTTATTGTATTTATCCTAGTGGATCTATAATTAAATGGGTAAACTAGCAGTAACACGTCCAACGTCAAGGAAAGCAAAGTGTTATTATCAGGAGAGGGAGAATGTTTTAGTGGTTAGCAGCAGTGTGTTAGACGATGGCCCCCACCATGAGGCCACCACAGCTCAGCAGAACATCATTGTAGCTTCTTCTGGGGAGAAAAACACTTACAGAGAAAATAAAGTTAACAGCTGAAATAGCAGGAAATAATACAGTTAAAGAGCAGATTGTAGAAGAAAGCAGTAGAGTGTGAAAAGTGGTCAGTGTATCCTCCAGCAGTCTAAGCCTATAGCAGCATAACTACAGAGATAACTCTGGATAATCTTTCCTATTTAGATGGAGGCATGTTGGAGGCAGGGCAAGGGAGAGCCGTCTTTACCGACTGTACACTCCACCTCCCTCTACTCCCCCACTTGTCCAGATTTAGGCTAACATCAGATTTTAACCATAGGCCCTATCAAATAAAAATGTTTTAAGCCTAGTCTTAAAAGTAGACAAGGTGTCTGCCTCATGGACTAAAGCTGGGAGCTGGTTCCACAGGAGAGGAGCCTGATAACTAAAAGATCTGCCTCCCATCCTAATTTTAGATATTCTGGGAACCACCAGTAAACCTGGGAACCAACTATGAGCCTCTTTTACAAAGCAATACCAAGCGTAGCAGTGCGAATGCTGCAAATTCCCGCCTCGCCACGGCGTGTTCATAAGACACGCCGCTGTGGCAGTGTTACGCTGATTTGTCGGCACGGCGTGTCTTCTAAAAAGGGCTCATGTGGTGTCTAAGAAAATTGCTTTAATGTCCCTTTTTAGGGAAAGACTGGACATAACAGTGGTTTTCTCATAACCATGGTGAGATAGATTTCAAGCTGAGAACTTCAAAAGGCCTCTGGTGGAAATACAGAAGTTTCAAATCATTTAGGTTAATCAGTTCAGCTCAAGCAATCAATATCATACAACACTGGCCTCCAGTGATCTATGAAATGAGAAATCTATTACACAGGTTCCTTCCTTAAAGCCTGTTCCTTCTAAAGTCATTAGCAGCCATTTATCATCTCATCTATCTGCAGACTGCTGAGACTGATGAGTGTGTCAGCATGAAATGAGAATGTAATGGAGTTAAATCTGTGGAATTGGATCACTGTGAATTCATAGCAGACACCAGTGTAACAGATCTCAATGACAGAATAAGGAGAGAGATTTTTTAACAGTAAAAGAGTTACTTAATATCACTACAACAAAAGTACTAGAACAACAGTTCGTGACGTGGCCAAAGTTCGTTAAAGTGAATATTTTCCTATCCTTACAGATCACTACTGTGTACTCGTGAAAATTAAACAAGTAATGCTGAAGATGTGCATATTTTTGTCTTTAGTCTGTTAACATAGCTTCATTGTGAGTTGATGATTTGGAATGCATGAGGACGGGAGGTGCAGAAACAGCACAAAATCTAACTTTTGCTTGGCTTGCTTTTTAATGACATGTTTTACCATAAAATGAAATGACTCTGATGGCAGCAGGACTCCTACATCATCCCAGGATGTTGCGAGACTCCCTGACCAGTTAGTTTTTATACTTAATGAGCCATGGAAAGATAAATGCTCCTTGGGGGCAGTAGTAACTGACACCGGTGCTTCCTGCATGGCATTCCCTTAAACTGTCAGGATGAATAAGACAGCAGGTGGCATACAGAGGTCCCAAACAATCCAATCTGATGATCTGAGTGATAAACTAAAGTGTTTTTCCCTTTCTTAAAGAATAACTGACAGTAGTTTTACTCCTTTTCTCTCCCAAAATGTTCAACTTACATTTAACTCCTTAATGCCTGAGATTTAAGAAAAGAAAATTGAAAAACATTGTTTAAACTGAACTATTTATTGGCAAATGGTAACAAAAAAACTACATACTATTCAGTCATTTAATTATGTAACAGAAGTAAATGAATAAAACTGGCCCTCACCACCTGTAGATCCTCCACCAGAGGGCAGTGGATATGCATTGGATTGGATTTAAGGCAGGTTTCTGATGAAGGTACTATCCTGATACTCCATCTGGATGCTAAAAGGGCAGAAGTGGTTTAACGCTGTTTTTACAACCATAGCCCTCAAGGGGGTATGGCTGAGGCCAGTCGCCCAATGGAAGAAACTTATTTCGGCAGTTTTCCATGACCTTTCAGTCGTTACCCAAAGCTTGTGACCATAGGTGAGGGTTGGAAAAAAGATCACCTGGTAAATTCAGGCCTCCCTGTTGAATCTCCTGCCTTCTTCTCACACTTGGGACAAGCTTCTGAGATACACAACTTCTACACTTGAGGTAGGACCTCACCCCTGACCAGTAGTTGGCTACACACATCCATTTCAGCCTTGGATTTGCTGATCCTCATCACCACCACTTCCCACACACCTGGACCCTCATCATGTCTACAAAATGTGTTCATAAATGTTACGAACAGAACAGAACCAGGGACAAACAGCTGCCCTGGTGGTACAAATACAGGAATATAAAAATATCCAAAGGTTAAAGTCTTACTGGATTAAACTCAATCTGAACCAAAATGACAGAACATGTGGATTTAAACTGACTGTACAGCCAGGAAATACTTGTTCCCATGGGCAGAAGCATCTGACGAGAAGGATTCACACTGCTGCAGTTTGACACAATCCAAAGGGACGCATTTCACTCTGAGTACACACTGTGCCCGTGTCCATCCTGACACTGGCGTTTACCTCAGGGAGCCTCAAGGGGTGACGAGATGGTGCTGCAGCGCACAGCAGATTGTCTCTGTAGAGACAACGTTCGTTTTACAGCAGATGTCTAACAAGAAGAAAACATTAACAATCTGCTTTTGCATCGATTTAGCAGACTGTTACCATAAACTGTACGACTTCATCTCAGCAACCTAATATACATTTTTGTACACTTTTAATTTTCCATGTCAGCTGGAAAGGACACATAATTGATCCTTCTGCTGAGGATTAATCACAGCTAATTTATGGGACTGTGTTTAGCAGATGCAGCGTCACCTTATTTGCATTCTGACAGCCGGCTTTGATGCATGGCAGCGTGTTGGCATACACACGCTGTCCTCAGCAAATTGCCTGCTAAGTAGCTTCAGGACGTCAGCAGTCACCCCTGACTCTCTGTGAGTGAAGTGTACACATTTTTCTAGCCTGATTCCTCCAGCGGCTCACAAACACAAACCGATTCTGTCATCAGGTGCTGCAATCCAGCTGGCTTCTGCTCTGACGCTGTCAATCTGATGTTTTTCCCGGCTTTTCCTGCCTTTCTAGTGCCCAAAGGAAGAAAAGCACAGTGAAGTTTCTCCTGCGAACAATGTGTCACCAACCATTTCTTTCAAGTTGAAGCCTGTTTGTCAGCTTTAGTCATCACAAAGTCAGCGTGTTTAGTATGATTTTGCTGAGGTTTGCTCTGGAAAATAAAACTTCTAAAATCCTAAATCAACAAGTATTTCTTATAATGCTGATCAAATAAGAAAACCTATAAATTAGTCATATTTTTTTAATTATTCATGCTGTTACCTGCGGGCATCTTTGTGGACGTGAAATTACCCAGTCATGTTTGACGAGAGCTGGCACGAGCTGTCGATTATTCACAAAGCAGGAATCTGAGATGAGGCTAAAGCAGCATGTTAGTATTTAGAGGCTTCCAGACAATGTGGCTGCAAGGAGGACAGATTCAAGACGAGGTTTCACACGTTGGTGAGACAGAAGGGCTGCAGGCAGTGTAGCAGACTGTCACCAATGGTGCTCCACTCAGAATCTCCTGCAAAAACACTGCAGTGTAAAGCTAAAGTCAAAATCATAACTTTTTAATAAAAATGTCAAATAATTCCATAAATACTACAAAAAAGTACTTATCCCCCTTAAAGGTCATGTGTGTGAAATTCATATAAACCGTGGGGGGAAAAATGCGACTCTTTAGCGCCACGCAGTTCAGAGTAGGTATTGTGGCTACGGTGGCCCACACAAAAAGGCAATATCTCCAGCTTTCACTCCAACCATCAGGTTCGTTCTTTATGAAAAGCATCTCTTCCGTTTTGGCTTTTTGGTCACATGTTTAAGATCAATGTTTCAAAAGAAGTAATTGACTCCTACACTTAACTGGTTGCAGTAACCTTGGTGACAAAAACTACAATTAATTGTGATAACTAGAACTGGGTGAGGAGGAACTTTGTCCCACTTTCTTTAGCAAAATTGTGTTTATTCTGTTGGAATAAATGGATGAATGACCTGTTCAAGGTCAAAGGTCAGGCATTCACCTTCAGGATTTTACGGTAGAGAGCCGATGGTTTCATCACAAAGTAACCGAAGCAGCAAAGAAACAACAGACCATCCCACTACCACCACCATGTTTAGCTGTTGGTATGGTGTGAGATGAGTTACACAGCAATGGTGTTGACCTAGCGACTCGATAGGGAGCCTAAGGCTGGGAATATACTTGCTTTTTAACCTTACGTTGATGCAAGAAGCGCCTTGTTCGCATATTTGCTGCTGCATGCAGTACTGGAGTTTTCCATGAGGGGGCAGATTAGAGAACTCAGACTGGACAGAGTACCAGGGTTTGTAGGGTACAGCCAAAAAACATGGCCTCAATAGAAGAGATCAGTAACTGTTTAATTTTCAGATCACGTTAAAATAAATAAATAAATAAATAAATAAATAAATAAATAAAAATGGCAGCAGTGTCATAGATAGAATAAAAGACCTCTAAACCGGAGGAGTGACCGTGGCGACTGTGTCTCGCTCGTTTTGTCAACTCCCCCTACTGGGTACTCGTATATTGCAGCTTGCAAATACATTGTGTTAATTTCAGGGGGAAGCACACGACAACGTTTCAAATAGAGTCAAATTACGCAAGGCAGCCATGATAAAGAAGCGTACGTATATTTAAAAGCGAGTATTTTCCTGCCCTAAATCATGCTCATCCACTTCTAGTCAATGGGTACCCCTACTGTCAGAAGTAAATGAATGGGAGGAGTTATTTTCTTACCCCGTTTGATATGTGCCATGGATTTCACATATGATGGTCGTGAATTAGACACATTTTGATGCCAGGAAAATGCTTATTTTTCGAACGATAGCAAAAATTATTTTAGGCTTTAGATGAAAAGCGACAAAATGGTCTACGAATACTCATCTCACCAATTGACATCATCAAACAAGAAGAGGACAATAAAAGCTCTTGTGAGCTTTGAATCCTTCTTCCAGGATGAAAGAATTGTCAAACGTGGAGAAAACTACTTTAAATCTGGTCATGTGGTAAGTAGCTGTTATGCTGGGGGAGAAGAGACGTCATATATGCAGTGTCTAATTTGTAGTCATTCTAATCACAAATTTTTTCAAGCTAATAAATCTCAAAGAACGTAACAGGCATAGTCGAAACACACACACACAATTACTTTTCATTTAAATTGAAGTACAACAGTGATTCAGGGCATAAGGCAATGAGCCGACTAGAAGGGGAGGAAACTTGGCTCCCTATTGATGCCCTGCATGCATAACAATAAACCCATAACTTCCCTAGCCTTGGATTTTTCTTCTTTAGTGATCAGCATTATAAATGTTGCAATGTCAGATGGCTTACCAAGCGCTATGGAAAGTGCTTTGGGTGCTATATAAATCCAATTTATCATTATTATTATTATTATTATTATTATTATTATTATTATTATTATTATTACGAAAGCCAGCCAAATGAGCAACCTGTTCATCCTTGACAAATTGCTACATCAAAAAACATGTCTATAAAAACAATAAATAGTAATGAAAAAACAGCTAAAGCAGAAATTTCAAACAGCAGCAACCTTGATGTCCTGACACACGGCCATGTGGGACACCCTTCAAACCAATAGTATCTGCAAAACTAAACTGATGACATTTTGCGTAAAAATAACATCAGATTTAAAAATATTGTCCTGTGTTCATTCAAAAAATACTCTAAAGCTTAGAAGTCGTAAAGGGTTATTGCCGAGGATTAATTCCACACTGTAACTGTAAGGTTTATTTAGCAGATTAATTTTTTAATAAGTTTACTTATAAAAAAAATGTTAGATTTTAAAGATAAAATACATTTTTTTTCATTAAAAATAATACCTCTTCAGCAAGTTATTCTTCAATTTCTATATTTGTATTGCTATTAGTCAAATATTTGTGACTAATTTTATCAACCTGGCTCCTTAGAACTGAGCACATCTCTGTTTTAACTGCGATTAAACAAAAGATGCATAAATTTACACCTGAACAACCATATTTCTCCCACTTGACAGACAGGCAGCACCATTAATCCACGCACTCACTCTCGTGCTTGGTGGTTCCCCAGGTGTGCCGCGGGACGCCGGGGCTCTTGATGATGGCTCTGCCGGCAGATTTCAGCGCGTCCATCCCGAGATGTGCCCGCTCTCCTCCGGCAGGTGGATGTCTCTCAGCCTCCTCACAGCAGGGAGACAAAAACACGACGGTCGATCCACTCGACGTCTGATCCGCAGCTGAGACAAAGAATGAAGTTTCTCCTGTCAGTCTTCTCCTCCTCTGTGTCCTCCTCTACAGGAGCAGCTGAAGGCGCACGCGGGGAGCCTCGCTTCCAAAGTTAAGGGCGTGTCCCAAACCTCCAAGTTCTGTGGAGCTGCTCTCTCTCTCTCTCTTATTCTTGTGGGATTGAAATTAATTTATCTTTACCATTTTATTTTACGGGCTTTTACTTTTTATGCTGATTTTTAACCTTCTTTTTGTCTTGTAATTTATTTATTCATTAAATGAACGTCTTAATTTAATGCGTTCCTGCTTTATTTTATTCTATGATTTTTTATTAGGATGAACAATATGTTTTTCTTTAAGTGCATGACACAATAAAAGGTCAGCGCACCTTGTATGTTTATACATTAGCGCCCTCTAGTGCGCAAAACCTGCTGTTACATTGTTGACAAACAACCGAAACAAATGACGTGAAGAGCAGTGGTGTTCAATACTAGCCTTCTAAGGCCACCATTCTGCATAGTTTATAGGTTTATCTGCTTCCTAACACCTGATTTTAATCAGTGAGCCACTGTAGAGTTTCTTCTGACCAACACGTGGCACGAACCACTGGATTTATCACAGAAAGTCCTTATTTAATCCATCAAACTTGAACTTTGAAGGTGGCTAATTCAAAATGGCAACAATGGTATTAAAAAAAACACAAACACAAAAGTGGAAATTTTGCTTTTACAGATTTTGAGTTCAAATTTGATGTCGTTATAGCTAATGTTGAGTTAGAACACTTAGGTAGAGCACTAACGAATTGACAACGTTTTAAAACTCTTTCAAACAATAGCTATAACACTGCACTTGGATAGAGGTTAATTAAAATTCAGGAAATAAATCATTGGATGTATCTAAAACTGGTTTTGTTTTGGAATATTAATTATGGACAAAATAAGCATTGCTTCAATCCATTCCTATTTTGATTGTTCCATTTCATAATCTATATTTGTACAATGATACTACTATCATAATGTAAAATAAAAATTAATTCATTCATTATCCTGATTCAAGATGGCCACCACAACATTGACATAAAAAGCCAGATAATTTAAAAGATATACCGAGATTAAACAGGTGTGTTTGTAACTGAGAGTCAATCCAAACACAAGTACTGAGATCTATGTTTTAAATTAAATTAGCATTTTACCATTTTAATCAACCATGTGTCTGTAAGACACAGCTTAAAGCTTTAATAGCAGATCTGAAAAACGTGCTAGCTTTTAAACAAAAACAAGGTCAAACCCCCCCCCCCCCCCCCCTGTTGGTGATCATTACTGGCCTGCGTCTGTCTGATATGGGAACCTGCCAGAGGAAACAAGAGAGAGCTAAACACTAATCGCCGTTTTCTAGGTCCAAGCGTCAAATGGTGTTTTGCTTTTTGAGACTGTCCTAAAGTTGAAGCGGTAGCAGCCAGCTATTTCTCCTCTGATATTATTGAGGGGCAAGCCTTTCACACCAGTGGTGTTCTGTAACTAAATGCACTGAAAATGTAGGGCCCAAGTAAGTGCAGGAGTACGTTGGTTTGGTGAGACAGGCAGCCGGATGGTCCAGTCGTTGGTTTTGGACCGAGCCGTGTTGTTGGCGTGTTTTTTAGACAAATGCGAGAAAACCACTTCATTTATTTTTTTCTTTAAATCTCCACAATTCACTTATAGCTGTGTAGCATCATGAATGTCCTGTTTTTGACCTAAAGGTCATGATCTGCTGCGTCTGCTCGAGCAGAGACATAAAGTCTCTGACAGCCTAATCTACATGAGATAGTGGCCAAGGTCTTTCATGCACTCTGCTCATCTGAACTGCTTCACCTTTGTTACGAAGACGAAGACCTATTTTGATAAACACATAATCAACAACTTTGTTATTACCAATAATAATGTGAGCCCAATGTTCAATCAATCTGTGAAATGACAATGTTATTACTTGATATTATAATCCTGTGATCAGTAGTATTTTACAAGTAATTATAATCTTGGACATTTACACTAGACACTGATGACACGTAATGCTAAAGTCACACGACACGTTTCCTTTTGTCTGATCCAATCAGAACCTTCGTTTCTGGCTAGGCGTGGTTATCTGTGGTGTTTGTATAAACCCTCTTTTGCATGTCAAATTCTGATTCGCCAGTAAACCAAAATATGACAATTATAAAAACTATCCCATGCCACCTTTTCTTTAGTTCATAGCGTTCTATAGAAGTCTCGGACCGGCCATCCAGACTTCCTCTTCAGCCAGAAAGAACCTCGACAAGCTGGATAAAATCTGTTGCAAGTTACACCTGACTGCAACAGTTCCTTCAGAATAAAAGCTGAACCTCATGACCCCTTCAGGGTCTCGGAGACGCCAGTGATAACCTGTCGTGACCTGGAAGCATTCCAAGACTAGTTTGGTCGGCACCGCCGCTTTTCTACCAGCTTCAGTACCAAGGAGGGTCCAAGAGGACCTCGACATTCTGGATCCAATGAAGGCTTCCCCTGGGGTACGTAGACCTACAGATGGCGTTTCATGTGTGTTATAAATATCCTACTAAAGTTTAGAGCAAAACATTCACTCCCACTCAGAACTAACTGCTTCTCCGGATCCGCTGGTTCTGAATAACATTCCACACACACCCCATCATCGCACATCTCACTCCTCCTTAGTCCATCAGTACACAGAGTGTTTCAGTTAGTCTTGTTTAAATTGTGTAGAAATAAATTTCTTAACTATTTTAAACCTGACTCTCTTTCTTTCCTTGGAGTTAATACGAAGTGTCGCTTAATCCCTGCAATAAAAAGTTCTGATCTTCTGGTTAAAATATTCAAAGATCCATCAGATTGATATTTCATATTTCTATGGAATCTCACATTTTATGGTTCATAAGTAAGATGTAAACTACCCATCCTTTACAGCTGTATGTTAAAATGTTGCTAAGAGGAATGAATACATGTTTTTAAGCTAGCTTACATTGCAGATTTGCCTATGTAGCATTAACACAACTTACATTAAAGACATACTAAAACATGTTTAAGCAGCATGGTGTATACTTAATTTATTGGGTTGCTATAAATCGACAAATTAGGAGGTGACATTTAAAGTGTACGGTATCCATAAAAAGGTTCAGTTATTGCAAGGGAACTAAGTTGTATTTGGATAGAGCGAACATCACCAGATACAACCCCATTTCCTGGTAAAGAACACATGTATTCTGCAGTTGTCCTTCATGGTGAAATCTTTATTACTTTTCTCCCCAAAAACCCAGCAAAGGTTCTCACATCCAGTCCAAGTTTCCCTTTACAATCATTTCACACTGAGGAAGCTAAGTGATGTATACTTGTATATTCCTACCAAATCTTCTAGAATTGATAATAACAGTTTAGCCTGTGAGGGCATGCTGCTGCTGCCATTTTGATGCCTGTGACCAGCTTCTTTAGTTTATACTCTGTCTATACAGCAGCTACACTGTGTGTGTGTGTCTGTGTGAAAAACTCTGTGCATGTCCTATAATGTTGAAACACAGCAGTTATACAGCTGTGAGGTGCTGCTCCAATGTTTTCTAGCGGTGCGATCTCCCCTTCCTTCTCTAAAAAGCTGAAAGCTGCACTTAAACAAAGCAAAAACTGTATTTGCTCCTACCGTACTTTCTGTTGTGGAAGACTGTGGGGTAAATTTATAATACCTTGTATTTATAAGCTCTCTTTTCCACTTTGTGAGTTTCCCAGAGCAGGTCTGAGTCCAATAAAGAACGGCAGCTACAGGCGTTCTGTAAATGGTCATAAATTCATTTTTTCATGGGAGTTGTTCCACCAATAGTCAAAGAGTGCAACATGCGTCGTTGGTTTAAATCTTTGACTTACAACATGGCTTGTGAAACATTTTATACCAAGCCACTGCTAGGGCAGTTTTTGATTCCTTCTCAAAACAAATCATGCTACTTGAGGGAAAAAGGAGGTAAGATGGCTCAAAGAGGATAGCTAGATGAGGTGATTTGAAGAAGTAGGTTTAAAAATAGAGGGAGAGTAAGGTAGTTTTGGGGGAAACAGTGTGAACTAGGCTGCTAATATTCATTTCTGTCTCCTTCAGCATCTTTATTTTATAGTCTCATGCTCAGTCAAATGTTCATCTTTTTCATTTGCTCTCACAAATCTCGCAACGTCCTTAAGAGGGCGGAGCGTGAAGGCATCTGGTGGGAGGACCCATCGCTGAAACTGATGACTCTCAAGTCCATCTGATGACAGGTCAGCTCCAAAATTAGTCTTCAAACGTGAGTGGGACCTACGCTTAGGGACCTCATACATCAACCACCTCAAAGACAGGAAAAACGGTGTCTTCACTTCCTCCTGCTTTTCTTCCCAGTTTCTCTGCTCCATTCCGATCTTCCCCCCAACTTCCTCGCCCTTCTTGTCGTTCTCCCACCTCTGAGGCACATGGGTAGTCTTGGGGGTGTCCCAGTGACTCCGCCGACAAGCTTTGACTGGACAGGATGCTACTTAAACTGGATTGACAGGCACCTCTCGGATGGGTTTCAATCTCCACGCAAACTTCAATGTTAGTCCCTTCTCTGCAGTGAAAACAGAGAATCATCGTTAGTGGCTAACAAAACTAACCCCTTCTTCACAATGGAGGCATCAGCGGCGTGGAACGGCAGCATCAGCTCTGAGGACGTTTGCAGCTGCAAACGAAACTGTCAGCAAGGTAAAGAGAAACCTTTTCTGTGTTTTAAAAAATAACCAAAAATGGAATTGGCAGCGGAACGGTTTACTAGCGAGTTTTGCTGTGTGCCAGTACACACCGGGGGAGAGTCTCAGCCACAGAGCGGCTTCTGCACCGCGCTCTTTGTTTGACTCGCAAGATCACAAGATCCCTCAAAACTTCAAAGGTCACAGTTTGTTTTTGCCATCCGGCAAGAAATAAAAAAGAAGACAATCATGTTTGATCATGCTGCTTGATGTCATTAATGATGCTGTACCTTTCCACTTCCATGATTACAGCAATGAAAAACACCGCTGCACTTCTCGAACGATGCAGTGAGTAAATGAGCAGTTAGGTCAAACGTATTAACATAATACAAAATTGCTGCAATAGTCTTATTTTGAAAATTATCAGAGGTTTGACGCTGTGTGATTTCCTGTCTCGCCCTACCTTAACTGTGAAAATTGACATGTCCCAGAAGCCATTTGCTAAAAAATAGAACCCAATCCGATCTTTAGCGGCGTAGTGCGACGCACCTCAAAATTTCTGCATCACGGCTGGTTTGAATCACCCCGATAGACAATAATGGATTCAAACTGAAGTAGCAACGTTCTGCTGTTGTTCCATGTCGCTGATATCTCCAGTGGGGTGAAAGTTCTGCAACAAATTGCATATCGTACCTTAAACTGAGGCCCTGTGTGTCTTCAAGCTTGCTGTCAGGCACAATAAAAACCTCACAGTCAGAATGGCTGTCCTGTTGGGTGTAGCCACGACCTTTAGCAGCTTCATCCAATCCTGTGTATCTATCTAGTTCAGGAGGTCCAGTGCTCGTACTCGGCAGGACACCGACTTCCTGTACACTGACTCGGACCTCCTGCAGACTGGTATCACTGAGCTTTGGGTTGTTCTGACCCGTCCAATGATCACTGACTACATGAGAGAATAGAAGGTCTATAAGAGAAGTTGAAACTCCATCAGATCAAGCAGGAATCAGGAGGGAGAATGTGACAATGCAGGCATTATAGGGGTTGGAATCCTTGACTTAAATGACAAACTGATGAAGTTTTGTACTCACAGTTGGCTAAGTCTTCTAGTTGTATTTTGTGTGTTTCTGGAGGTTCACCCTGTGGTCGACACCAGCCGTTTCTGCAAAGTGACATGGGAACGACTCCGTAGACGTAAGTCAGCATCAGCGGCACACCCACTCCTAAAAACCAGCAAATATTTATAAAAAGAGTTTTTTACTGTGTTGCCCAAACTAGATGTTGCGTTATAAATTCAGTTAAGTTAACTATGCAAGTGGGGGAGGTCCTCAGAATCTGTCTGTCTGCTAAGAAAGACATAGAAAGGCACTCAAAACCCCGTCTTCATAAACCTTCAAAAAAGCACATGGTCAATGATAATAATAATTAGGGGTGTGTATTGGCAAAATCTAGCGATACAATATTTGTCACAATACAGATGAAACAATGCGAGATATTATGATACTAAAAGCCAGACGATATTTTCATTTTCATATTTTTAAAACTGAACTGAATTGGAAAACTCAGGCGCTTCCAAGACACATCCAGCGTTATCCCGAGAACTCGATGTTCCGCCAGAATGTGATCAGTGCTGCCACCTAGTGGTTGGTGTTTCAATTGTACCAAACCAAAATAAAACAGTAAAGGTTTGCATGTAAATTCTCAATAAAATTTTGATACACAGATTTTAATTACAATTACAAATATATATATATATATATATATTTAAAATATATATATTCTGTATCATAATATGAGTTATTGCAACATTTCAGTGTATCAAAATGCTCTTACGTCCCCAACTTCATCATGTTATTATTATTATAATTATTAATTATTATTATGCAAATATGGGTTTTGTAACTTCAAATGTTTTAAACTAAAATATCAAGCATGAGTAAAACCATCTAAAATCCTGACTTATTTGGGTCTTTTGAATTACCATCACATTACACCACTACAACACAAAACTAACACAAGATGGATCCCTTCTTTTCAGATTGTGAACTGGAAACAGCAAAGTATCTTTAAATGCCTGCTTTTTGCCATTTTAAGTCTTCGCGTAGGTGCATTTATGTTTTAAACACAAACAACATCAAAATCATAAACCTCATAAACCATTAGCAGGATTTCATGACATAGTTTTGAGAAAACAATGATGTTTTAAAAGATGTCCTTTGATTTATTGTCAGCATAACAATACAACACGTCCTGTAGTCAATAACCGCACAATGGAAGTCACATTTCTATTGTAAAGTTTGATTTACACCCACTGTTTTCCCGAACTCTCTCAAAAATAACATCCCTTGAACGTGGTGATCAGCAGCGTTGCTACGCTTGTAATTATGCAACTCAGTACCATGATAGGAATTTGGAAACACAAAGCGGAGTGCAAAACAAACAAAGGGGCATCATTAGCAGAGCCAGAACAACTGAGTCGCTATTGACTCAGCAACAGGGTGAGACCAGGGCAGGAGAATGAGTCAACCAACCAAATGGTTTATACAGGGAGATGAGCAAATGTGTTGCAGTGTCACCTTTGACTAAAAGGAGCATTACAACAAAACATCTGAAAGAAAAATACAACAGCTGTTGTGAAAAAGAAGGTAACAGGATATTTAAAGACTGCAATCAATGCTATTACCTTTTATGAAATTACGATAATTTTTTATAAGAATATTGATGATGTTAAAACAAAAACCATGCACAGCATACATTAATTTCCTGTGCTTTGTGCTCAGACTAACACATTAAATGAAGAGTTTTCCTTACCAACAGTAACAGCTGCTATGACCGGAGACACAAACACTGACATCATCACTCCACTGGCCACGGTCAAGTAGTGCTTACTTCCTGAGATATTGTTCTTCTTACAGCGACCGTGAACCTGAAAGGCAATAAACGAAGAACCAATTATTTTTTGTAAATATACGTTGTTCCTTTTTGCTGTTCTCCATCAGAGCGACCCTTTATCCACGTCCATAAATGTATTCATGTATGTAGAAGGGAAACAAAGACATTTACTGTGAAACCAGAGACAGCCATAACACAAAGACATGCATTTATGCATTTAATTTTAGTTACAGATCTGTTTTGCTAAGATTTTTTTATCATCTAGGTGTTTTAGGTTGGTAGAAATTCCTCCATTCACAACTTTTAAGCATGCAAACATTGGCTTACTAGCTCATGATCATAAAGGACCATAATTAAAATGATCTATTTTAGTGTAATGCATTAATTAATCCATCTATTCTGATATGAGATGCAAGGACGGTCATTGCTGTCACTGACCTTGCGGCCCATGTAGATTGGTATGCCTACTATGATGACTGGGATGGCAATGCCAGCTATGAGGGAGATGACCACGGGCGCTCCGAGCAGCATGCCCACCTGCCACAGAACTTTGCGGGTCTGAGACCATGGCTTCTTCCCCCAAAAGGTACATCCTGAAGGACTGAGACACACAACAAACATGCACACACAAAAATCTGTTTAAGTAATGTGTTTTAATTTTAAAATGGAAAATCCCGGACGAACCCCCATTTTGTCACAACCTGTCTTATGGATAAAAATAGCAGTAAAATACATTTTTGTGAAACTCATTTCAAAATGAATGCTTTCAGTGGTGTAATTCAAACAGGTACAGAAAACCATGAGACTGACGAATGGGTTTGTTTTACTAAACCAACACTATGCTTGTAGAAACACAAAGAGAACCTAAGGCCATTGCTGTTTCTCAAAGTGTGCAGCTGATTTCCGACAGTGCATGTCACTTCACTTTGAAAGCCCTAGTGAGGAGGGGGATTATAATGAGGTATTATGAAAGCACTTTGCGGTTCAGAACTAGCAGATTTGCTGCCCCATGCTAAAAGCTTTGCTCTTTTCCAGAGGGTTCACTGCAGTTTAAAGAAAGGACAACAGATGGAGGAGGAGAGTTGAGAAGACAATGGAGACTGGGGGTGTAAAAAGCCAAGCTCACCAAGAGTACATTCATTAAAATTTCAAAGATATATATTTTCTTAACGGCCATGCTCTGAGAGACCAGACTGCAAGCTTTAGTTCTAGCTGGCATTCATTCAAGGTCTGGATATTTCCAGTGCATTCTGGAAAATGAGTGCTTTAACATTGTATGGGACAGCAGTAGTTCAGGAGGTAGAGTGGGTTGTCCAGTAATCAGAAGGTTGCAGGTTCAGTCCTGGCTCCAACCAGAGAATTCTGCTGTTGTGTCCTTGGGAAAGAGACTTAACCCACCTTGACTGCTGGTGGTGGTCGGAGGGATTGGTGGTGCCAGTGCTCAGCAGCCTTACCTCTGTCAGTGCGCCCCAGAGCAGCTGTAGCTACATCGTAGCTCATAACCACCAGCGTGTGAATGTGTGTGTGAATGGGTGAATGACTGACTGTGTTGTAAAGCGCCTTGGGGAGTTGTAGAACTGTAAGAAGACGTTATGCAAACACAGGCCATTTACCATTCTTCTTTGTTGTTTTCCTCTCATTAGGATGCGTATAAGCCAATGCTTGGGTTAGCATTAGGAGTAGCTCAGGCTAGCGCAGTTCTGCAGTTAGCATTACCTCCACCGATGTTTATATATTGCCGACATTTAAGAAAGAAGAAAGAAGAAGAAGAAAATATCATTTCTATAGGGCCTCTCAAGATAAAAACCATGAGGTGCTTCACAAAAACAAAAAATGTAAAAATGTAAAAAATAATCTAGAAAATGGTTAAAAATATTTTTAAATGAGCAAAAAATAGACAATTGTGATTAAAAAATGTTAAGAAAGAGAGAGAGTGAATAGGAAAGAGGGAAATCAGTGGATCCTGAAGAAGGTGGAATTGGTGGGGATAGCATAAAGAGAGAGTGGTGAAGCCTTCTTCACCACTCTCAAAAGCCAGCTTGAACAGGTGAGTCTTCAGCTGCTTTTTAGAAGAGACCACTGAGTCCACTGATCTCAGGCTCAGGGGGAGAGAGGTCTAGAGTCTAGGGACCACAGCAGCAAATGATCTGTCACCTTTGACCTTTAGCCTGGTGCTGCACAACCAGTAGGCTTTGATCACTGGACCTCAGGGACCTGCTGGGGGTGTAGGGACTAAGAAGATCACCAATGTTAGATGGTGCTTGTCCATGTAAGGCCCTATAGACCAGAACCAGGATCTTGAAATGAACCCTGAAGTTGACTGGCAGCCAGTGAAGCTGGAGGAGAAGCGGGGTGATGTGGGTATGTTTGGAGGACTTGGTCAGAAGGCGAGCACAGGCGTTCTGAACCACCTGTAGACGGTTCAGGGAGGTGCTGCTCAGACACGTGAAAAGAGAGTTACAGTAGTCTAAGCGTGAGGAGATGAAGGTGTGGAGAACTGTCTCAAGTTCAGAGCGGGACAGAATGGGACTCAGCTTAGCAATGTTCCTGAGATGGAAGAAGGAAGAGCCAAAAAGAGAACTGACATGAGAATCCAGGGTGAGAGCTGGGTCAAAGGTCACGCCAAGATTCCTGACGGAAGGTTTGGTGTGAGAAGCAAGCTGACCAAGAAAGTCTCTGACTTTGGGAACCAGCTTGTCTGGGGCACAGATGAGGATCTCAGTCTTATCTTCATTCAGCTGTAGAAAGCTCCCACCATCCAGGTTTTGATAGAGTCTAAGCAGGTGTGTAACAGCTGCAGCTTAGACATCTCATGGGGCTTAAAGGAGATGTACAGTTGGATGTCATCTGCATAAAGATGGTAGGAGATTCCTTTGAAGGAGCTCAAGATGTGCTGAAGAGGAAGCAGATAGAGGAGGAAGAGCAGTGGCCCCAGCACAGAACCTTGTGGGACACCATGGGTAAGAGAGGTGGTGGAGGACCTAAACTTGGAGACGGCCACAGAAAAGGAGCGCTCAGAGAGATAAGAGGAGAACCACTCCAGAGCAGATCCTGATAGGCCTACCCAGTCTCTCAGCCTCTCCAGTAGCAGGTGATGGTCAACAGTGTCAAAGGCTGCAGTCAGGTCCAGCAGGACCAGAACAGAACAGCCCCCTGCATCACTGTGAGTCAGAAGGTCATTAGAGACCCTAAGAAGAGCTGTTTCAGTAGAATGAGCTCTACGAAAACCTGACTGGAAGCTATCATAGATGTTATTTTCATCAAGAGCAGCTGTGAGTTGTTTAGCCACAACCTTTTCCAAGATCTTGGAGATGAACGGAAGTTTAGAGATGGGTCTGAAGCTGCTATGGAGAGAGGGGTCGAGACTCGGTTTTTTAAGAAGCGGGTGGATTACAGCGTTCTTAAAGTAAGCAGGGACCTGACCAGAAACCAGAGAAGCATTAATTATAGAGAGCACGCTGGGACCGATGGACTGAAAAGCACTTTTAAACAAAGATGAGGGTAAGATGTCGAGGGGGCGTGCAGAGGTCTTCATAGAGTTAACTAGTTTGGTTAACTCAGGCAAAGAAACAGGAGCAAAGCTATCTAGGATGATGGGCCTGGTTGGAGTCAGGAGAGGCAGCGATAAGGCTGAAGGAGAGATGCTAGATCTAACCTTATTGACTTTGTCCACAAAGAAAGACAGAAAGTTCTCACAGTCTGCAACAGAGTGGATGGAAGCTGTAGGAGGCAGGAGAGACGCTGCTGCTGATGGTGTTAAACAGCACCTTGAGGTTCCCTTTGCTCTGGGACACCAGGTTGGAGAAATAGGAAACCCTTGCATATCTGACTGCAGCGACAGTAAGTATTTTCCCTGGCGATAGGGGGCAGTACATACCCAAATCGTTAAAAGCAAGTATTTTTTTTGTGTTCGAGTAAGACCTTATGAACGGATGGCCATTAGGGTAAAAAAAAATCCCTAGAAGCACAATATTGCACATATGCAGATTAAAAGGGGGGTGAAGCTGATGACATGTTATACAAGCTTTTCTCCAAACCAGTTCTCCAAGGCCATTAGAAAATGACGTACGTGCTAAGGAAAGCCGGTTAGAAAGTTTTGGGTAGGTCACAGACTTTTGTGTGTGCTACATTAGGCACCTCAAGCTGCCTACAATCAACAACTGTTTTACAGATCTCATAAAAATCTAAATGTCATACACAAGTAGCACAGCTGCAGGGGGAACTGCTACCATTTCATTGTAAATAATCCTACCAATACTATATTGAATTTCAGTACTATGACAAATATGCACAATCATTGGTGAGCTTAGCGTGATACCTGAGGTAGTGCACATCCGTAATCTCCTGCATACACAGCCAGCAGAACTGACAGGCACACACAGTGCAGTTCATGCGGTTACAGCTGCCGTCATTGGTCTTCATGATGTAAGCACCACAGCGAGGGCATGCTTTGATCTCCTCTGCATCTGCGAATGAGTTAATATGACAGAAAAACTTTTTTTGCATTCTTTACTAAAAAAAATATCATTTTATTTGCTGGGAACAGAAATTTCCAGCAATCTTCACTGGTTGACATGAAGTCAAATCTGACAATAAACAAATGAATGAAAAGACTACTTGCAGGAGAAGATTTCGGAGAATAAATTAAAGGATTTTCTAGTCTCACCTCCACCAGCATCCTCGTTGAATACATAAAGCGTGGAGGCATCGTTGCCCCCTGAAGTATGGCGAGCTCGCTGACGCCGAGCCTGGTCACACGTCTGGTTGGGGTGCCAAAGCTGCCGACAGTGGTAGCAGAACTCCGTGTCGCAGCCCTGACGGCCGCAGCTCAGCTTGGGACACTCCGCACATCCATATGCTATCACTGCATAGCTGAAAGGATTAAGTAATAGATGTATAAAGGACAGTGCATAAAGGTGTGTGTAAATACACAGATTACATGACATGCTCCATCTCGAGCTTCTGTTATGGAGAAATTCTCTTTGTGAGAAACGAGAACCTAATTTGTGAATGATAAGTTCAACACTAAAGACTTCTAAAGCATATTTAATAACAATATAATTACCTCTAGTTGCAAAGATTTTGCAGAACCATTAAGCCTTACATTTGCTTCAGAATGAGACCAGTTCATTAATCTTTTTATTTTAGGGGACATTTTACAGACGTTCTTTATTCTTTCTGAAGGTGATTTGAAGATGAACTTAGTAATTTCCACTCATTTTCACTGTAACACCTATTTTCATACAATAGTGTTTTTGTTTAACCCATTTAACCTTGATCTCTAAATCATTGATCATAAAAAAGTACCATTTTCCCTAATTGTAACCTTGCGCAACAAAGAGGCACGTTTGGTTTGACTTTTTTCAAATTGCATTGACAAACTGTACCACATTAAGTTGAGTAGGTGGTTACATTCAAGAAACGGAAGGAAAATGAATTTAAAAAGCTGCAAAAAAAGGAAAGACCTTCACAATGTAAAGACAACGTTTGCTGAAACCCACCAAAGGGACTGCTAAAGTGCTGTACTTTACATCCTACCTTAAGTACAAAACACAGAATATCTACTTTTTCTTTGGTTTCAATTTCCCATGGTCTGGAAGTAGATGGGTGTGACTTAGGCTTCCTTATGATCTTTCTTCTACTACACGATGATCGTAGAAATGCTATTAGCATCAACAGTCTGGTCAGTCTCGTAATAGATTAAATCCTCATATTTATGGGTCTTTCGTCACCAACACCCACTGTGACCATGCACACAGCACATTTTTATAGGCTTTCTCATCAAGGGCTGTAACTTGTTTCTAATTCATGTAATGCAGTAGTGAACCAATGCTCCATATGGGTTAAATCACAGCTATTTTTGTCCCAGTTTCTCAATGGAGGAATATTTATGAATGAGTCCACCTCTTTAGGGATGAAGGGGATGTTCAAGATCAATACAGGAAGTTGTCAGATTCAATAATTAGTTATTTGAGGCTCACACGGGATCTTTTTTAAAATGATCTTATCATGGGAAAGATCTGAGGAGAGACCTGATAAATTCTTGGCACAATTTTCCGTATTATGTTTATGTTTGTTTATGTATTTAGCAGATGCTTTTGTCCAAAGCGACTTACAAGTGATAATCGGCATGTTGCCCTTGAGGCTAACAACAACAACAACAACAACTTGACATCAGTCATGGAGAGGAGGGAACAAGGAGTGGACAGTAGAGAGGGGGGACGGGTGCAGGGAGGGTGCTAGTTAAGAAGATGCTATCTGAAGAGCAGGGTCTTCAGGAGTTTCTTGAAAGTCGAAAAGGAAGCTCCTGTTCTGGTAGTGCTTGGAAGGTCATTCCACATTTGTGGAACGATGCATGAGAAAAGCCTGGATTGTCCTGAGCGTGGTGTAGGCACTGCTAGCCAACGGTCCTGTGATGACCGGAGCGGCCGGGCCGAGACGTAAGCCTTTGCAAGAGGATTCAGGTAGATGGGAGCCGTACCATCTCGGACTTTGTATGCTAGTGTTAGCAATTTGAATTTGATGCGTGCTGCTAGCGGAGCTCAATGAACAGAGGGGTGACGTGTGCTCTTTTAGGCTGATTGAAGACCAGACACCTTGCGTTCCCCGCTGCATTCTGGACCATTTGAAGAAGTCTCACGTGTGGAGCGTATTGAGTCAGACTCACCATTTTTATTACCCAGTCAGGCTGAATAATGAATGAAGAAAGGTAATACAAGTAGCTCAAAAAGCCACTAATGCCCACAGTTCCTATGTAGAGTTGGAGAAACCTTATAGATGGATAACCAGTGTGTGGAAGTTTCACCAATTAAAAGCCACATTTCCACTACTGGAAATCTGAAATTTTTCTGGGAGGGAGGAAGGTGACATGGAAAATATGATGACTCGGTCCTCTACACTGTTCTATCTCCATAAAAAATCAGCACTTTCACAATGTTGCTAAGATGTTAGCTTATCGCGACGGCTTCAGCGGTCAGTGACATCACTAATCAGCTCCAAAAGACGTTCAAGAACATTAATGACAATTTTCACAATAATTTAATCTATTCAAGGGATATTGAGAGCGACCATGTGCCATAAAAAGCCGTACTCAATGACCGGAAAAATGAATTGCAGCGCTTTGGGGGAATTTGCAACACATTCTTTGGCATTGGAAGTTTAGTAACGGCGACTTCAACCTCACCTTTTTTCTTTTCCTTCTATTCTGCTTTACCAACCATTCTTCCAATTTGACAAATGCCGGTTGTTAGGCAACGTCGGCCTGCTGATACAAGAGTTACAACCAGTTACCACTCAATGTCCCCCCCCCCCCCCCCCCTCAGTGACTCTACCGGGTCATTTACGAGGCCATAACCCAGTTCGGATACTACCAGTACTCCCTGAAACGGCCCAGGAAATGGTCCTTTTGGGCCGCACCGGTAAAAAGAGACACGCACATGCAGTGAAGATTTGGTAAAATTGCCGACAAGTTTCAAATGGCCAAACAAACATTTCCTTGCTAAAATGTATGCATCATCCTCATGGCACCTGGATGACTAACCTAATGTCCCTTTTTATGGAAAGTGTTTTTAGAGCATTGATATTTGAGAGGAACATGGAAGCTGAAACTGAATAAACACAAAAACACCCCCTAGAGGCTAGCTGCAGAACGCGTTTTAAGTCCCGCCCACCTGACCTTACGTTTATTCTCATCCGTTCTTGCAAAGTTTAATTGTAATTAGTTACCTAATGCTTGAAAATACAACATGATTTGGTCCTGACCTGCAGTCTGGAGCAGGGCACCAGCGTGTATCTGGATCAGCAGCCAAAAACCGCCTCAGCTGGAACTCCTCAAACCTTTCCAGCAGAGCTCGGTCATCCAGGATGGTGCAAACATCCAGTGGGGTCAGAGTTTCAGGGCACTGTGGGCACGCAATGCTCACTCTGCTCTCTGATATTTCGATGCGAAGGTACTGGCGGAGGCAGTCGGAGCATGCCCTGTGGGAGCAGGAAGTGAGTCGTGGAAAGTGGACGCGCGGCTGGCTGAGTAGGCACAGTGGGCACTCCTCCAGATGTTCGTCCAGCAGCTGCTCCTGGCTGGATGAAGAGAGGGAGAGGACACCGGTGGAGCCGCTGCTGCCTCCACCCACCTGCTCCTCCGTGGTAGCCTCAGCCACAGCTGGTGGGCCCCCTTCTTCTCCTCCCTCTGCTACGGAAGCTCTGGATTTTCCGGCATCTTCTGCCGTGAGGCTGATTTCCTAATAAAAGCAACAGAGAGGACAAGCTTACAAACTACTTTTAGTTTGGGGTTCTCTGTTGTGGGTGATGGTGGCACAGGAGTTCAAGTCCCGCTCAATCTGTCACTGTCATCCTTGGGCAAGATGCTTAAGCCACCAAGCCTGCTGGTGGTGGAGGGACTGGTGGCGCCAGTGTACAGCAGACTCACCTCTGTTGGTGCGCCCCAGGGCAGCTGTGGCCACAATGCAGCTCATCACCACCAGGGTGTGAATGTGTGTGTGAACGGGTGAATGACTGATTGTGTTGTAAAGCACCTTGGGGGGTTCCAGGACTCTAAAAGGCGCTATATCAAATACAGGCCATTTACCATTGCTGTCCTGGTGACCCCATCTGGAGATGGATGGACATTTAGATGGACAAATTATTTAAAGGGGAATTATTATGCAAAACTCCCCTTTTTTGCTGCTATGTGGGTCTCCACTGCCTCTATAAACACTCCAAATGTGAAAAACCCCGACTGTCCATTTTCTGTCAGTGATTAGTTTAGTTAGGATATTGAAGCTTCTCAGCATGAAGCAGCCTAGCTGGGGGATGGGTGGGCGTGGCCAGCTCTAGCTTGTTTTCTTAAAGCAACATTGCACTAAAACAGCTCCTTCTGGAAGGTAGGGCTGGGCAATAAATCAAAAATGTATCATTATCAAAATTTCTGACTTTTATCAAGATATGTCTCCCCGTGTTAATAAATTTGATAATAAAAAATGAAAAAAACGTTGATGTCCCTTTAAGAAGCTGTACCACCTGCAGTCACGTAAAAATGTGACTCAACATAATACATATGACAGCTCCATCTAGTGGACAGATTTCTGTTTCTGCGCATACCTGTAGTTATCATCCATTTATCGTTATCAAGGTTAAAACCTCAATGTATCGTGATATTGATTTTAGGCCATATCGCCCAGCCCTGGTGGAAGGTGCTGAAAATGTCATGGTAAAAGTGCTGAAATTGCTTAATGTAGGAAGGATTTAGTGCAATGAACTTCATGAACGTGTTTTGTATCAACAAAATCGTATCGTCTGAATCTGTGTGCATATCTGTCTGACGTGTTTTTTGCATATCAAAGCTATCCTCTCTATGGAGGGTAACTCTGAAGTACCTTTTTTCCCTCCCCCTGACTCTATCCTCATATAAACCCTCTTGATCTATAACGGTAGCGCGACTCGTGTTGCGAATGACCAGTCACCAACTCTTGTCATGGGTCTATGTATGTCTGATCTTGGAATTGTGTGTACTGATATTGAATTTCCCTCTGGGATTAATACAGTATTTTTTAATTGAATTGAATAGAATTTTTATGAATTAAGAAAAAAGTCATAATATGTTACCCTTAAATAAACAATAATGGAGCTGGGAAATACTTCATGAGATAAATCCAAAGGAATAATGATGAAGAATGAACTTTCTAAGACAAAAACCAACAGAATCCTAAATCCCACCTGCTCTGGATGCTCACTCGGGGTCAAGGTTATAGGCACTTCCTCTCTGGGCCAGCTTTCCACAGGCTTCTCTGGCTTTGGCTCGGATTTGGGCTTACGGCTAAAGAAGCTGAGGAAGCTTAGGGGCCCCGCTTGCTGTTTGGGCCTCTTCATGTTCTAGGACGAGAGTGGGTCAACGACCATGTGCTGGTTGCAAAAGGTTGAATGTGTGTTGGACTTTGTTCGTGTGTGGGTGGACGAGCACTGTGAGAGCTCTCACGGCTCAGGGTCTTGGAACTGGATGAACATTTCTCTATGTGAGCGAAGAAGCGTGGGAGGGATGAAGGGGGAGACAGCGGAGAGGAGGTAATCCCTGCCCGAGGGGAACATTGCTAAACTGGAACTTTTCTGAGAACCAATCATGTGGTTTACTTTGTCTCTCTTCTGCCTCCACCTCCGCTGGAGCTCATCAGGTGTAAAAATAGTCCCGGACTGGTGGACTGGTCAGTGTTTATTTGAGTTCTCATTTGTAGTGACGTCCTTTTTCCTGAAAATGAAATAAAAATGCATAATTAACTTCAGATTTAGACATGATTAAGGTACAGAAGACAAGCTCTCATCAGCTGACCTCATATAAAATAAAAGCCCCACACCTTCTGCAGAATAAATCCCTTCCGTCTCATTTCAAAAGTAAACGGTGAACCCTGAGAAATCCAACAAGGGTTTTTTCTTTGGTAACAAACAGCTGTAAATGTTCATAAATGTATAAAAGTGTCATCTTAATGGTCCAGACCAGAAGAATTTGGGGATTATGCAATGAGAAACTGTGGAGGGATAAGAAGGGCTTAAGGATCTGGTCAGTTCCATTTTGGACAAGCTGCAGACGATCCAGACGGGTAGAAACAGAACAAACACTTTTGACAAATAATTAAAAATGACAGATTATCATCAAAGATCACCGCAATTTTTTAATGCTGGATTTTAATAGTGGGGCATGATGGCAGAGGAGCCAAGTACCCCATAATCAGAAGGTTGCAGGTTTGAACCCTGCTCAGCTTGTCATCAATAAGCAAGACACTTGACCCACCTTGTCTGCTGCTGGTGGTCAGAGAGACCGGTGGTGCCGGTGTACGGCAGCCCGGCCTCTCTGTGAGCTCCAAGGCCGCCGTGGCTACAATGTCAGTGTGAATGTGTGTGTGCGTATAGGTGAATGACTGATTGTGTTATAAAACGCCTTGGGGGGTTCTAGGACTCTAAAAGGTGCCCTAACTCAATTGGAGACAAAATCAAAGTTTCTAATAACCTAAGGAACCAAACTATCTTGAGCACAAACAAGAACCTCGTTTCCTCATTCAGTTTGAGAATGTTATCCAACAACAAAAATGTTAACATTTAAACTCCTTCATAGGGTGGAAAAATACAGAACCATCTGGAACAGTTGATGATTTTACCTTCATCTCCTGATGTTCTATAAGTCTGTCCAGTGATATTTTACTAACACCTCTACCTCTCCAGCAGGCAGGGGAGGTTTTAGACCAGCATGGGGGTGGGGGGTGGGGGTGGGGGGGGAAGCTGCAGCTACATTGTAGCTCATCTCTACCAGTTTGTGTGTGTGTGTGTGTGTGTGTGTGTGTGTGTGTGTGTGTGTGTGTGTGTGTGTGTGTGTGTGTGTGTGTGTGTGTGTGTGTGTGTGTGTGTGTGTGTACTGTGAATGACTAGTTGTGTTGTTGTAGAACCCTAGAAGGTGCATATATCAAATAAAAGCCATTTAACAACAATTCAGTTAGTTACTTTAGATAAAACAGCCTTTCAGTTAGACTACAATTCTTACATTTTTAATGCGTTATCAAAGTTTTATTTTTTTCAGTGACATGAAAATATTTGTCTCAGCATCTCTTTTCAATTTCAGATAAATGCATTCACATGCTTTAGTTTGTACATCTCACATTTGATGAGCATAATTAACTAGTGCTGCACTGATTTGGATTTTTGGGCCGATACCGATATCCAATGTTAATATCACTGTTATGGCCGATAACCAGTATTACCGATATACCATTAATGCTTCTAAAATCAGATTTTGTATAGAATGAAAATTATTAAAGCTGAATTTACGTTATTATGTACACACACCACTCACATTTACGGTTCTGAGATTATTACAGTCACTGTCACATGAATAAACAAATGCGCATCACCTCCCTCATCCTCTGAAACAAAAAAATAACATATACCGTATATCGGTATTAACAAAATATCAGCTGTTATTATCGGCCCAGTTGTATTTATTGGACCGATACCGATATGTTAAAAAATGACTAACATCAGCTGGTACCGATACTGATGCCGATATATTGTGCATCCCTATGATTAACACACATAAATCTGTACTTGTTGATGTTTAAGCTCCGCCCTCAGCAGAGGGGCCATGGGGGGGGGTCCAAGCTTGCTGTCTGGGTGGCACTGGCCCACCCTGGACCCCTCCTAGAGCCACCCCTGCCAGCTGGATTAGAACTTTCTTCAAAAACCTGCTGTTTTAGATCACATCTCTTTAATTTACATCCACTGCTGGAGAATTTGCCAGGTGCCAAATAAGCATATAATAAACTATATAGATATTATATTATTAAACAAAAAATTGTTCAGTTTTCAAAATACAGAATTTTGAATGATTTTGTTTCAGGCTTAAAGGGCAAAACTAAACCATCAGAATATAATTTAACATATATTGCATAAAAAACAACAGACCTCTGATACATTATTATTTAAAAAATAGTAAAATACAGAATATGTCAAAATAAGGACTTTTTTGTTACTTTTGCAGCTTCTGGTTTATTTTAAGAGCACATCTTATTTCTTGTTTTAACGAAGATGTAAATTAGCATTAACATTCGGCTTTAAAAAATGGTAACAAAAATTGTAAGTTTACTTAAAAAAGGGTAACTTGAAAGGAAGCGAGAACCTTTCTGTTGTATGTAAAATTTAAAGCATTTTATTATAAGGAAAAAAAACCCTGTTCTTCGATGTTGTTTGCACACCGTTCAGACCTAACAACACGTGTCAATAAAGCAGAATGCAATAAAAGTATTAGCTTTCAGGATTTCTTTAAAAATGGACTAATATCTACTCACATGAAATCCAACTTAAACTGAAGGGGTTAGGACCTCTGCACCATCACCTGCTCACCAGTTTCCCTCAGACTTGAGCAATAAGGTCACAGCTGTGAGACACGAAGAGCAGATGGATGAGAGAGAGAGCTGCTGCAGAGCGGACCGAGGGAGATGGAGGGTGAAGAGAAGATGACACAGACAGCTCTTTCTCTCCATCAGGCAGAGCTTTCATAATCAGGCCCAGAGAGCAACGAGAGCATGAGGTGATTCACAAAAGCCCAGACCAATTAAAATAGCTGTCTCCAAGGCACCCTGTCAAACTCAACAATGGGATGTGGCATGAAATATGAGATAATTAAATACTATTATATATTTCAAGTAGGGATGAGCGAGTACACCACTATCTTTATCTGTATCTGTTCAACCAACTAAATTATCTGTATCTGTACTCGGAATGGGCGTGGCATAACCCGGAAGTGGGCGTGGTATAACCGGAAGTGGGTGTGGTTTACATCAATATATTATTTTAGGTCTGAAATTTATATGGATTGATCAGAAGTTGCTATGTGTATTGTTTATTTGAAAACTATTTACAGAGCAGCCTCAGAATTGAGATTAAATATTTTTGATCACAATAGTAAAGGAACTATTACAGAACAAGTGTTTCATTAAAATCAGAACATTAATATTTAAGTGCATGGATTAATACATCTGAACTCATGCAGTAGGAACTAGGAAATATGAAATGCTAGAACCAGACACAACTTTATGTATATATTTTTTTCATTTTAATTTGATTAAACTGATTCTTTTCTTAACGTTCTTAGGCATTTTGCCACACAAAGTTAAACAAAACAATGTTGATTAAGGTGTGTGTGTGTGTGTGTGTGTGTGTGTGTGTGTGTGTGTGTGTGTGTGTGTTGTGTGTGTGTGTGTGTGTGTGTGTGTGTGTGTGTGTGTGTTTGTGTGTGTGTGTGTGTGTGTGTGTGTGTGTGTGTGTGTGTGTGTGTGTGTGTGTGTGTGTGTGTGTGTGTGTGTGTGTGTGTGCGTGGATGAACAGGACGGACTGCGCTCCCGGCCGGCTGCAGTTTTGTGTGTAGGGAGGGGCGGGCGCTCTATGTGACTGGCCAATCACAGAGCGTGAAGACAGTCAGTTACCCAACGAGGATTTTCCTTCAGCACGATTACAGATATTTATGAGTTTTACTTGTTTCATGCTCGTATTCGTCAAAAATGCTTTATCCGTACCGGATACTCGTCTGAAACGAGTACCCGGCTCATCCCTAATTTCAAGTACCATTGTGTTATATAGAATTCTGTAATCAACAAAAAAGCTAAATCGTTACGAGACATTTCAGATCAAGATTGCTTTGTTTTTCCAAAATGAAGCAATGATGTAAAAGATGTCAAAAGAAGCCTTAAGAGCTTGTTGATTTTTATTGCTGTCACACATTTCTCAAAAGTTAACAGCATTTTGATTCTCCGCAAAAGAGTTCGTATTTGTATCGTCAAAAAGGGAAATTTGTATAACAATTTTCTTGCTAGCAGACTGACAAGAATCTGGTGATACGATATAAATCCCAATATAGGGGAGACGATAGGTGATACTGCAATACTAACAGCTAGATGGTACTTGCAATTTTTAAGATTGAATTTAGCTGAAAACTCAGGCCAGATGCTTCCAAATAACGATGCAGAAATTCCAACCTGAACATAAGATTAGATGTTTAGTTTTGGTATTCGTATTAGGGATGCACATTAAATCAATCACTAACGGGATCGGCCAATGTTAGTCGTTTTTTAACATATCAATATCGGTCCGATATGTGAAACTGGGCCGATATTTAACAACATTTTATTTTCCGTCTAGTAGCCATTTGTGTATCAGTTTCAGAAAGGGGGGTGGGTGGGGTGATAATGCTTAATTGGTCATATGACAGTGATAGTAATTGTCTCAGAAGCTTAAATGTGTGTGTCTGTGTGTATATAATAATATATTATATTTATAATAGTGATGCACCAATATGAAATTTTTGGGCCGATACCGATTTTAATGCTTCTAAAATCTGCAGATTTTTGTATAGAATGGAAAGCTGAATTTATATTGTTATGTTTACACAACACACACATTTACGCTTGTGAAATGATTACAATCACTGTTCACATGACTAAACAATTACACATCACCCCATCACCTTCTGAAACAGGCAAAGAAATGGAGACGAGATGTAAAAAATATTGGTTGTTAACATCAGCCCGGTTTTATTTATCAAACCGATACCGATATGTTAAAAAAATGACTAACATCGGCCGATACGGATATTGATGCCGATATACTGTCCATCCCTATTTTATAATTCTTATATTTGGAGTGTTTATTGGCCAGAATCTGGTAATATGATATATATCACGATATAGGGGAGACGATGCAATATCT